CCCTACACCTCCCCGCGGTGACCCCCTCTCTGGATGGACTCACAGCAGCTCACCTGTGACCGGTGCTGGGCCTGCAGCCGAGCTCCCCAGGAATGAGAGGCTCGGGACCAAGCATCCTCACACCCCCAGCAAGTCACCAGGCGGCCAGCAGGTTTTGGGAGAAGTGCAGGGGGCCAGTGAGGATCCTCCATCGCAGCCAGGCAAGAGAAGGTTTCCGAGCGCATCTCCTCCAGTGTCCTGCAGACCCAGCCCACGGTATCATCTCTTACGGGTTGTTTCAAACATGCACCAGACGTTCACCAATGGAGCTGCTGGGATGGAGCTTCTTCCATGAGTTTTGCCGGTTGTCTCTTTTTTCCCAAATGGAAAACACCAGTCATGGTTCCGCACTTGGTCCCGAGCCAACGTCACCGCTCAGGACCGTGATGCCAAAAGCTGGGAACATGCCTCTCGCTGCCACCTTCACTTTGGTCACCTTCCCTGCAATGGGACATGCATCCTGTCTGGTGCGACTTTGTGGCTCTCTTACGTAGGTGCGTGGTTTTGTTTCCTCTATGTGTGTGTTTGGCTTGTGTTGAGTTTTTAGGGGTTTCGTTGGGGTCTTTTTGTTGTTTGCAGTTTTCCTCCAAAATTCCAACCCTTTTCCCCCCGCCAATTCACTTCCCTCTCCCACAATGCACTTCCTCACACTCCTTCTCGGATCAGCTCCAAGTCCTTCTCCAAAATTCAAGAATGACCCGCAAGCACCAGCTCATCTTTTCTGGCCGGAGCCGAGCATGACCCTGGAGACAAAGTTGACGATGGCTGCAGCCGGCTGGTCCGGGTCCAGCTCGGCAAAGAGGTGGCAGACATTGTCTGTGGTGCTCCCTTGCTTCCTGGCCACGAAGCCAAAGAGCCTGAGTGGAGCAAAGGCAAGAGGGTCAGCCAGGTTTACCAGCATTGCTCACCCAAGAAACACCACCACCCTCTTCCAGCATGGTCTTATCCACCTGCCCCTCCTTAACATCCACCTCACATGATGCACAGGGAGACATCGCCATCAGCCTGCATGAAGACCAGTCTACTCTTCCCTTTGCTGCAGTTTCTTTTAAGGCCAGCACTGCGTTTCCATCATCTCTTGGCCAAACCTCCCTTGCTCTGACCACCCCTGTCACCCTCCCCTAGATCGCCCCCCAGAAGGGACCTTCCAGATGACCACAGCTCTGCCTTGTTTTGGGTGACGACCCTTGAAACCATGAAGGTGTGATGGGCTCTCCATTGGGGTAGACCCCATACGGGAGATCCTGTAACACTGGGAAGGCCATGTGGGGACACGGGGAGCTGGGTGAGACCATGCAGTTATTTCTGCCTGTCTTTCTCTGATGAATAAAATGTCCCCTTTCTTTCTTTCTTTTTTTTTTTTTAATTAGAACATGCAAACTCAAGTTATAAATACGGGAGAACAGAATGTGAGACAGGCCCAGGCCATGGCATTTCTAATTGGAGAGGGGAAATATCCCAGCAGCTGGACATCCTAATAAAAACCCCTTCGCTAACACAATGGCTAAAATTAGTGAGAATTGGCCCCTGGAAACAGGCTCAGCCAGCAGCTCTGCTCTCCTGTGAGTCAGGAGAGGAGGACAGGAGCAAAGACAAGAGCCAGCCGGTGGCTTGCACGCCATCAGCATAATCCCCAGTTCTGCTCCATAAGCTAGTCTACTGGGAGAGTTTCCAGTAAGGCCAGTTCAGAAAGAGACATCCCTGCTCTGACCAGGAATTTGGGGCTGAAAGATGCTTCCTGAGTCCATAGGACCATGTTGTCATGCTTGGGCGAAATGTTCCTGCAGCAAGGAGTTGAGCCCATCTCACACTGCCCTGCATGGGGCATCTCCCAACCAAACACTGCTCAAACGCAAGCAGGAGCCATCCCGACAGTGGCTGGGAAGAATTGAGCACTGAAAGTACTTACTTGGCTGGGCCGCTGCCGTCAATTTTAGTCCACCTGCAAAGAGAAGAGGACATGTGAGGGATGATGCCTCCTGCGCTCCACAGAGAGACAGGGTTGTGATGGGGGCCACCGCACCAATGCTGGAGGGCCAGCCTGGCTTTGCACAGGCTTGGCTCTAAGGAAAAAAACCTGATGCGCCTCTCCCCCAGCACAAAGATGCTTCGAGACACCAAGAAGTCACTAGGAGAAGCTGGTGTTGCCCCACGGTATCCAAAAGGACCCTCCATCCCTGCCCTCTGCAGGAGCAAAAGGGACAGAGCAAAAGACCCTGCTCCGAGCAGCCTGGGAGCTTGGGGGAGAGAAAGGGGCAGGGAACATGTGATCCCCAGGGTTAAGGCGCTCACTTTCGTTCCTGGGGGTCCAGGTTGCAGAAGGTGACGGTGTTGAGCGGGTAATGTCTTCGGAAGAATAATCTGAAAGACAAGGCAGGGAGCGTCAGGGCCAGGGATCCCCCACCTCTGCCCCACCACAGCCCAGTCCCACCAGCATGGAGGACACTCCCATAGGTCTCCCCTAGGATGCTCCAGGAGTCAAGGACATAGCCCAGCCTTGCCCATGACCAAACTTATGCCACCCCAGGGACATCCTTCACCAATGTGCTCCCTGGATCACAGCCCCGTTGGCTTTGGTGACCCGGAGATGTGGCCATGGGGGCTCTTACTTCCTCTGGTTGTCGGTTAAGGTGATGCCTTGTGCAGAGACTTTGAAGTGGACAATGGTAGCGGTGGGTGGGGGGTCAGCCACCAGCGTCTCAGCAACGGCCTTCGCGATGGCCTGGGGGCCCGTCAGCGACTCCATCTCCACCGAATTGATGAAGAGGACGTTGCAGGCTGGAAGGGGAGACATCAGTCATGGGCTGAGCCACTGCTCTGGGCCACATTCGCCCTGCGGCAGCCCTCTCTACTCACCTGCACCCTGTTTGAGGAGGTCGGTGGCTGAGTTGGTGGTTGATGCAGTGTCTTTCTTTTCCTCCATGGGATCTAGAAGAGACAGGGCATCATTGCCGCTCCCTGCTTGGAAACCTACCCTGTCTCCACAGGCTGTGGGGACAGATGTAGGATCCCCTTTCCAACTGTTGAGCATCAGATGCCAGTGTAGATGTGGCACTGGGGATAAAGGGTAAAGCCCAATCTGGATCCAAGTTGTCTGAGCATAGGGATGAAGGGACTAGCAAGGAGGTACAGCCCCTAGCATGGAGACAAGAGGGCTACACCCCCAGGGCTGGCCCCACTGGGGATATACCGCCCTGGACGCGGGAATCGACATCCCACCCCAAACAGGAGAGGATCAAGGCTGTCCCACCGCTCCCTGGTCTGCTGGCCCTGGCTCTTACCTCGGTCAGGAATGACCAGCTTGCAGGGCAGGGCCAAGGGCATGATGGAGTGCTGATACACCAGAGCCGAGAGGCAGCCTGGGGAGAGAGGGGAGACGGTCAGCGCAGGGCTGGGGACACGGGTTTCCCCAGTATTGAGCCGTCGCTGCTCTGGGTGGATGGGAACAGGCTTTTTGGTGTGTTCCTTCACCGTAGTCCTAATGCCACACATGGCATTTCCTCTTGCTGAAACCACTATGCTCACAGAAAACCCAGGGAGGGGGCAGAGATGCCAGGGACACTTTAGGAACAACGAACAGGGCAGAGGTCCTCGTGCGGTGCCTCGGAGCACATTAGCCACGAGATAACTGGAACAAGAGGAGACCTCGCCCTCCACTCTGCCCAGCAGCATCATTTGTCCTACACGTATGTGCAGGAAGGTACCTACCTGTGCACATACACACATTTGCGTGCACTCATGAGTGTGCATGACCCCAAAAACTCCAAATGCCCACAGGACTTGGTTATGCAGGGACAAGAGGCAGGAACAGAGGCAGGGGCTCTCCCAGTCCGCTTTGATAGTCCAGTAAAGGCAAGGCTATCCCAACCCAAGCCCACATGTGGAAAGCATGCTGGTGGCACTCACCAAAATTGGGCTCATTGGGGCATCCTTTTAGTTTCACACCCCGCGGGCTGGTCTCGATGAGGAAGTGCCTCACCAGCTCATTGGTCATGTCTCCTGGGAAGAGACGGGATGTTCTTACACCAGAGCCACCCCACTCCTCCTCCCACTCTGCAGACCTACAGGGAAACCAGTGCTCCAGTGCAGGGGAGGGGTCTCTGTCACTCCACACACCCTCCTCGAATCTGGCCCTTTGCACAGGGTCAACCCCAAGCCAGGCTCCCCCATGGTGTGTGTGCGCCGGGGAGGCTGTGCCCATTTTGCCATGCCAAAGCCCAGGAAGTAGATGCCCCTGAGCCCTCCGCAGCTCAGGGCAGAGGATGTCTGCTGCTTCCCTGTGCTCTGGGTTGAGGGCTGGGAGGGAAGGATCCTGTCACATCAGCACATACCCAAGGGCACGACTGGCTCAACAGACCCAGCTGCCCGCTCACCCCGGACAAACGATGAAAAGCATCTCGGCGTGGGATGGAGAAGGGCACACAATACCTTTCTTGTTCTGCTGCATGACCGTGGGAGGCGGAGAAGCTACTTTCATGGCGAGGCCGTAGGCTCCCCGGAAGGAGTGGCTGTCTCGGATGATGAAAGCCCCCGGCTCTCTGTCCTTCAGCAATGCGATGGCTGCAGGAGAGGACAGCAGACGTCAGAGCCAGAAAGGCAAGAGCCAATGTGCCCCTTCGAATCCAGCAGGTGCAGGTCGAGACGGGGCGCCTCGGCTCAACAGCCTCACAGCCGAGAACCACAGTGTTACTATTACCCCTGCGCATCTGTGAGTCTGTGGTCAGGCAGCGGTTCATCTCTCCCCCTGCCCTTGTGTGGGCATCTCAGGTCATCCGTTCCCACCCAGCCCACCTCTGAGCAACCAAGTACTGGAAAGCAGGCGAAGACCAGGGACCAAATGCTGGGACCTTGCCCCTGAAGGCACCTTGCCCCCTCCTTGTTCTCCCCTCTTAGCCATGTCTCCAAGATCCTTCTGAGCTCTCTCAACTCAAGATCTGGGTGCTTTGCACCCCAAACTGCATAGATCCACTGCATGCTATGGGGACCGGTGCTCATCCACCAAGAGGAAGGTTTGGGGAGCTGACATCATGCAAGCCTGCAGCTGAGCTGGGCTTCAACTCTCCTCTGCAATGGTCTGAACATTCACAATCCACCTTCACTCCTAATCCAGCCCCTAAGGGAAATCCTTGCTAATCCCTGTGATCCCAGATACACCCCAACTCCTGACCATGACTCACTCGACCATATCCTTCGCCCTGTGTCATCTACCCACCCTGCTCCCTGGAGATCTCCGGTTTGTACCAGTACTTGGAAGTGTCCTGCACAAACTTGACGTTGGCACGAGTCTCGGGGCTGATGTCTGCAAGGAAGGGAAGAGAAGACAAGAAAAAAGTTGAAAGATGCTCTATCTAAAACTCCACGTGAGTTTTTAGCAAATCCAGCTAAAGCATTAATACCTCCACCTCCTTTCAGCCCAGCACATTGCTTTAACCTCAACCCAGTCCTCGACACCCAGGCAGGCTGATCATCACCTGGAGCTTATGAGGCTGCTGGGCATCTAATGCTAAACCCAAGCGCAAGGGCCCTCAAAGGGCTGTGTGTCGGATGAGCTTCTTTGCCATACAGCCAGAGGCAAAATGGGAATTTGACATTTAAAAGGGAGCTGGCCAGGTGAAATGAAAACTGTTGGAGGAAAAAGATATGTCCAGAAGGTGGTGGGGAGATCATCTGCCTTCAGAAGACCTTCATTGCTCTCTAATGTTCAAGATTTGGCTCGTCCATGACAAAAATCAATTCCTTCCCTTATCTTTGCTCCGTGCAGAGAAACCAGACAGGTCAATCTACCCTGGGAAAAGCAGTCTCAGCCTCAGCCCGACCCTGCCTCGCTCAGTGCTCATCAATGGCACAGCCCTGATGGGACCCGGTCCTCTGGCCATGAAGCTGTCACTTTGCTTGGGCAATGTTTCCAACAACCTGCTTTCCAAAAACAACTGAGCAAACAACCCGGAGGGCTGGATAGCATCTCTGCTGGAGACGTGTTATCGGCCCTCTGCAATCTGGTCGCCTTCAGAGAGGCGGAGGGCTCACTCCCCTCCCCAGCCGCTCACTAATTGTTATGGGATTTAATTGCTGGCGCTTCCCCGCTGGGAAAGGTCCCCAGTCTCGGCGAGTCATGGGGCCGGGGTGGGCGCCAATGTGCCCACAAAGGGCTGCCCACTCGGCAGCAAAACCAGCCCAGCAGCCAGAGGCACCGCTGCCCCGCAGCTTTATTCCCCTGGTCCTATCGGCCCCATCTCGGCGTCACTGAGGTGTCCTGTAACCGGAGCCAGCGAAGGCGTTCCAGGTGCGGGGGCACCCGGGGCATGGCACACCATTTGAAACGAGGAGGCAACGCCGCAGTGGCGTCTCAGTGGGGTAAAACCCGCTGGGAACGGGGCCAGGAGGTCAGCACATCCCCACGGCAGAGAAAAGCCGCCTCTGGGTGCTTTGATCTCCCCGTACACAACTCTGGGCGCTGTTTACACCAGCAATGCTGGGTCGGTGCTTTTCCTGTTTGGATTTGCTAGAAAGCACAGGAAATGGCCCAAGCCCCAGCAGTGCCACCAGTTCACGGATGGGCAGGAGGGGTAAATCAGGACGTGGCTGCAACCCCTTCCCTGCCAGCCAGCAAGGAGCAGTAGGGGAGAGCCCTGGGTGGGGATGAGGGACACGAGGACCTCTCTCACCTGGCATGGAGAACTTGGAGAAATCCGGCAGGGTGTGGGAGAAGGCGACAGCGCTCCCACCACTGGGGCTGGACATGCCAAGCGGCGAATATGCTTTGCCATTGACGGTGGCGTAGTTGGGGAGGCTGTTGGACCGGTCCCCGGCTGACATGCGCCGCTTCTCGGGCAGCACGGGCTGCGGCGTGGGGCTGCCTTGGCGGTAGGCAGCTGAGTCCGGGGAGGAGGAG